TATAAACTGAGTTTTTTTCTGTATTTCTGTAACTTTAAAATTATTCACATTTTAAACGGATAAAGGTAATAAGTACAATTGTGATATCCACAGTTAGCAGTATAATAACCAGACAACTGGAATAATTTTAGTTTTAATGATCAATTTTTCATGTATTATGTTGATCATCAAATGGACATTATGTCCATTGAAGACTGAGACAAAATTTATTTGCAGGTCCCTATGTATGTATTGATCTTTTACAGCTTATGTCCCATGACTTAATTTATTAGTTGGAATAAATTAAGTCATTTTATGATAATTTTATTAGCTGGTAATTTTATTAGCTGGAATAAAATTCCAAATAAAATTTTTAAACATTCAAATTAATTTATAATATAGTTTTCAATAAATGTAATAGCACAGAAATTAGTATATTTTAGAATGCCTGTGGGATGCATTTTAACATATCAGATACAACTAAATTGCTATGTCCTAGCCTTCTTCGCCTCGTATTTAATTACAATTAAACCTGTTAATTACGAATAATTTTGATTTACCTAGTTGTAGAACTTGCTCAGTATATATTATATAGTACACAGTTAATCTAACGTATAGTTTTAATATTATTTTTGGGTAAAATTCAAACATTTTTTTTATTGTTATTCCGGGATTTTTACCATAATTATTATACTAATCCGCTCTGTTACCATAATTATTGTACTCACCCACTCTGTTACCATAATTATTGTACCAAATAATTTCTGTTGAGTTGGCAAAAATGTGTCCCATGTCAACCGAGATATACTACTTTTTAGATAAGGCAGCCAGTTTAGAAATTTTCAATAATTTTCTGTATTCTAAGAAAATAAAGTATTTTAACGGTGTTGTTGTTTTATTTATTCCCCCCTCTGTTGCCAGAAAAATTGTCTTAAATTTATTGTTTAAGGGTTCATTTAATTTTTTAATGACAACATCAAATTATGCTTTTCAGTTTTGTATAAACACTTCTTTTCAAAGGAACCTTCCCTGTAAATTGCCTCGCAGTATCTCTTTTTCCCGCTGTTACTCCTTCACTCTATTACCATGGTCGTGGTAATTAATTGTACATGTAAATTGTTTTAAGCTAAAAATGAACTTTATCGATTTTTGTTTTGTATTTGTAACACTGCTAAATTTTCTGATTAAATTTAAACTAAAAAAATAAAAAATAAGTTTTTTCATTTTTAAGTCCAGAAAATTTTTTCCAGCAGTACTGTTATCGCATATAGATTAAAATAAAAGATTCGATTTAAAGGTTCTCAAACTATGACTTTTTTACTCTCTTTGGTGAAAGAACTTTATAGGTGAAGAAGTAGCTGATTCTGGCAGTATTGTGTTGATGGCTGATTCTAACTAAAGAGCCCATTCTGGCTCTAAACTCCATATTCAATTAGTTCAGCCGAATAAAATAATAACAAAAATCTCTGATTAGAGGAAAATTACATAATGTTATTGCTAAGCTTTTAAACCTTATTATACAACTCCTTATACTTTCACTTCTTAAACTGATTTTAAAGCCTATAATTTTTTAAGACGATTTTAGTAGTTAACGGCAAATAATTTGATTTAATGGATTCACTAACTATTACTAACGGAAATCATTCGAGCATTTACTGGTATTCCTTTTGTTTCAATAGTACCATGCTGTGTACCCAAATCACCTGGTGAGGCAAAGCTTAAATACATTAACTTAGATAACCAAAGATTGCGAAGGAATTTAATTAAATTGTCATGCTTTTAAGGAACTTTTCCTTATTGACGTGCAAGTTACGTCTAGATGATCGAAACAAGATGAAAACAAACATGTTCTTCTTTTTCTGGCTCAACAACTTAATTAGTTTAGGTGGCACGAAACTCATTCGGCCGTTCAACTGTGCGTATTTTTTGTTTGGTAGTTAATTTAATTCAAACAGCATACCAGCTTCATCAAATAAATAATGCCAATTATGAAACAAATAACTTAAAAAGTTTGAAAAACAATGTAAAAAGTAAAAGTAGGAAGTTAGCATTTTTGTAATGAATTATATTTTGGGGGTCTTATTTGGAAATGATTTGAAAATTGCCTCTCCCACAAACATACCACACAATCACGTATATTTTGCGCAAGCTTCGTAAAAATCTGAGATTATCCAGTAGTAACTACGTTACGCAGGACATCTGTACGTAAATATGAGGGACGTTTTATGTAAGTGTTATGTGTGACCCCAGATGAGTGCACCAGAAGTGCCGACAGGGTCACTTCTTGACGACATTTTAATCAATTCTATAAATGTAAATGCATTATTTTTAACTAACAACTAAACACATTTTACTCAGCTAGAGGGGCACATACTCATTATATTCTCACTGATAATATCACTGCATTCAAAACAATATTAAGAGTCATCATCATCGAATAAATTATTATATTTTAGGCTTATTTATGAAAACATATTATAAATTAAATAAATGTATATATATTTGAGAACCTAAATTTGCGAAATTCACACTTGTAAAAGTGAATTTGGGAAATTTTATTGTATATTTATATAGGAAAAATAGTGAAAATGTATGTATTATATTTTTCTTTAAATAAATATTTTTTGCAATGACATTGCTAATGATTTTCTTTAAAATCCAACCATTAATGATGATTCTTTTTAAAGTTCTTTTTGAAAATTCCGTTTTCTGCAAAATGGTATCTAGTTCATTGGGTAACTTTATGATTAAAAATGCAATAAGGCAGTCATAATAAAGAAAATGATTAGCATAAATTTTGTAATTGAAAATCACTGTCGTTTAGTTACAACCTCTAAATTATGTATACAAACATAAAAAAAATAAAATTACTGACATTCTGTGGATAATTTTATTGACATAAAATTTTGAACATCGAGAACTTAAGTTTAATTTATCTTTAATCTTCAAAGAAAAATGCAAAAAATATTTCTTTAAAAAAAGCAATTTTGAAGAAGAAATTTTGAAATTAAATCATTTGTCATTTTACAGCTTAAAAAGAAAAATCTGTAGTTCGTTCATTCAAATTTAATTTTTTTTTCTAAAAATTGAATTAGATTTTTTTTGTGTGTATTTTAACAGTCAATCGTACCAGAATAGTAGGAAATCTTTCCTGAAGACTAATTAATAAAAAAGTGAGAAGTACAAAAAGATGGGTCCTGACTTACTTTTGAATGTTTAAGCTAGAAGTTGCTTTTTTGTATTAAGTTTATTTATTTATTTAGTAAATCCAAGATTACATATTTTAAATTCCAAAATTTGTTGCTATAATTAACATCTCTATTAATTTTTTATTGGCCCCGAGATTATTAATTATATATATTTCAAATAAATAATGAAATTTACAAGCGCTACTAGATTTTTCGGTGACAAAATGAAGG